GAGATCCCTCTTAAGTACTAAAGAGACACAAAGATGGGGGCCCTGTCACCCAAGGATTCTCGTAGTCTGGGTCAGGAGCAATGCTTGCTAGTGTAAAACTAAAGATTGCAGATGGAAGTGGAGTCAAGGGGAAAGAAGAGGGGTCTCTGATGCCAGGAGGAGCTGTCCTCTCTTCATCCTGCAGACACCAGCAATGGAAGGAAAAAGTGGCTTAGGAAGATTAAACTGGCCAGGATGTCTACAGGGGAAAATGGAAGTCTCAAAGAGGAGACTGCAGAGAGCTTCTGCACTAGCTACAGGTGGCTGGGAAGATGACAAAAGTGGAAGGACTCAGGGATGGTGATAGGTTGATTTGAAGACACAAATTCTACCAGAACATTACAATTCGATCTACTTTACAACCCACCAGGTAGCCAAACTACACAACACAGAGTCATTAAAACACATTCGTTTGGTGACAGGAACCCAGTTCTTTTCCCACTTTATGTGCCTTTTTTTTCCAAGAAGGTACCTACCAACCAGCGTCTGGTCTGTTGCTTGGGGAAACTGACTTTCCTCATCCAAAAGTGCAAGCAGGCCCAGGGGTTTCTGGAGGAACATGTCCAGGAGTGGCCGATTGTCCTCATAATCCACAGGGATGGCATCGATACCCTCATTCTGGTATTCCATCTGGAGGGAAATGGACTATGACTCACTCCAGCCTGAAACTGATCTTGGTACCCCCAGAATACTTTGGCCTAGACTTTCTGGGTCTGGCAACCTTGAATGCATATAGAAAACAGGGTGTGTTTATATACATAGTAAAGAAATCAGCTGTAGATCACCCTGCTGAAGCTGGGTGTGAGGTGTGACTTCCAGGGGGCCTGTGATAGGCAGCTTGTGCAAGCAAAGGTGGTCTCCTAAACACAGATTTGAAAACTCATAATTTAGAAACTCATGCGGGTTTTATGGTTGATACATTGTGTCAACTTGTGGAGTTTAGAAGCTTAACTAAGTAACTCAGCAGTTCTACATCCTGCGGTGAAAAGGACGCGCCCTTCCTGCTCTAGGATGTTGTTCATTGTATCAACTTGAGAAGTTTAGAAGGGTAACTGTGTGACTCAGCAGGGAGCCAGGGTCCTTACTTTGTATTCATCCTCAGCTTGTGGAAGAGGAGGGCATGGAAATGGCGTGGGTGTGAACTGATAGCCAATATACAATATAAGGGAGGAAAAGAGGCTTGCTTCCCCCGCTTGTGCTCTTGCTGCTTTCGCTGTCTTGGGCTGACTTAGATGGGTGCTCCTGTGCCATGCCACCCTGCCTTGGAGCCAGGTGATTATGGACTGAAACCTCCACAAGCCATGAGCTAAATAAACCTTCCCTTCCTTAATTTTGGGTGCTGGGTATTTTGTCTGCACAACCAGAAAAAAGTAACTAAGACATGTAGGAAAGGGAAACAATTTTTTATTTTGGTGGCAAATATACCTTACGAAGCAGACATCTTTCTTCTTGTGGGAATCATTTAGGGAAGGAAAACTAAGAAAAGTGCAGCTGGAAGGAACTTTGTAGAAACAAGGTAGAATTTTGTGCAAGGTGATGGGGGAGGATTGCATACCAGATTTCACCAGCCCCTGGGATAAAACCAGTACTGGCACAGTATTTTCACTGTGTTTTTGCCTTTATCTAGTCCCTCTAAATAGTTCGTATGTCTTTACTGCTGCATTTAAACAACTCTCCCTGCACCCACAGAGCCGGGTTCAAATGTCAGTTGTTGTATCTCCTTCACACAGAAGTCTTGGGGTTTACATAAGGGTTGGGGTGATGTGAGCTCTGATGCTGCAGGACAAAGACCTCTAGTCCTTGGGTCTACCAGCTTCTTACCCTCCTGCATTGACCCCTGGGACGAGGTGGGTGAGACCTCCATTACTAGAAATTCGAGAGCTTGTGTTGCTCCCTTTTGGAGAAGCCCCTCTGGTTCCTGGGAGGGTGGGTACAGAGGACAGGGGAGATAAGCATGGCCAGTGCAGGAGCTAAGAACCCCATTCAGCACATGCTGTGTCATTTTGCACATCATCATAGACTCGTTGGGATAAAGTAGAAGAGAATGAAGCATTTTGAGCAATATGCATGAAAGAGTGAGTCTCAAAGCAAGATGTAAAGAACTGGTGCGGCACCAGCTCCGCTGAAGTGAGGCAACATACGGTTCCCCAGAAACTATGAGGTCTTTTTTTCAGAGTAAATTTAGACTGGTTGTTACTTTGTTCTTTAACTTTAAGTTTATTGGTACCATTTAGGTATGCATAATGACCACACTCGTTATAGGGAATGTGTATTTGTATATGATATATCTTGTTTCCTCTTTCTTCTTTCCCATTCCCGTCCCCTTTTCAAACCTCCTCTCCCTCCCTGTTCACAAAGCTCAGTTTTCATTTTATCCTTCTTTTCTCATTTCCCCCCACCAAATGTAAATAAGAATATAAACGTACAGTAGATATTGTGAAACAGAAACTGGTTGTTTATTTTTGACATGACCATCTCACGAGTGGATTTGCTATAGTCTTTTGGGGGGTAACTGAAGATTACACTCAGGGCCTTTGCACTGAGCTATATCCCCAGCCATCTTTATTTTTTATTTTGATACAGGGACCCCCTAAGTCACTAAGTTTGCCAGGCTGGGTTCAAACTTGTAATCCTCCTGCCTCAGCCTCTCAGAGTGCTGAGATCACAGGCATATGCCCCTAGAGCAGGTCCCTCAAATCTTCTACCTGTTACTCTAATGGGGTTTTTACTTCAAATTGCAGGCAGTTTAGTGACACCCTTTCCCCATTAGATTTAGTAACTTCAGATTCCACTCTTACCTGCTCAAGAGCAAACACATGCTGATTGAAATAGTACTGGATTTGCTCATTGGCAATGTTTATGCAGAGCTGCTCAAAGGAATTTCTTTGAAAATTCTCAAATCCAAAAATATCCAAGATCCCCACATTCATCCCATGGTCTGTACTACTGCAGGAGAGAAATAAACAAAAATTTTTAGGGGAAGAATCATCCATGCAAGATGATGAGAACAGATGCACCTGAATGACCATCAACTCAGGTGAGAAAGCCATGTCCTACCACCTCCAAGGAGAGACAGTTTGGGTCCTTGGGTATAAAAAAATATATATGAATATTAGGATCATTTAAAACCTCACTTTGGAGCCCCTACATAAAATAGATGCAGGGGCTGTCACATCTGCATTCTCCCATCTACCTGCCCACAAAGCTTAACTGAGGTAGCACTCTTTGTTTACAGCGTGATGTCACTTCCTTCCTGATGCAGAAAACCTCTAATGCATAAGGGGAAAATGCAGTGCATTTTACCTGAGGGAAAATTACGCTTTAGAGCTTTTCATGAAATATCTCACTTGATTCTAAAATCACCATGAGGAGGACATTTGATCCTCATTTTACAGATGGAAACGTGTGACTCAGAGCACGCTGCTGATTAAGCTGTAGAGTATGGGGTGGACCCAGTTTGTCCAGCTCCTCACCGCGCCTACTCTCTTAACTGCTCCACTTGAGCAGTGTCATCAATCACTTGCCTCTCAGGTACTAAACACTTTGGCTCTCCTGGACCCTGGTGTGTCTTTTCAAGGAGAAAGCTGAGAGCTGTGCTAAAGAAAACCCCAGGGAGGATCAAACGCTTCCTCTTGCAAACCCTAAGAACACCACGTTGAAGACAGCCCTCCTGAACCTCTGCTTCCCTGGGAACTTGCCATATGTTTCTGTCTGGCTGCAAGAGTGTGTTGATGCGATTCACAATCCAGCTGAAGAGCCTCCCGTACAGGGCTTTGGACATGGCATCTCGGACGTCTGCAGCTCTGTCCACAGTGTTGGCACGGACAATGGTTTCACCCCTGGTGACCACACAGTGGGACGTGAGAGCCTCCTGCAGCTCTTCAGGGCTGATACAGAGAACAAAAGCAGCTGGAACAAAGAATAAAATGACATAAGGGGAATGTGGCCATCCTTTCATTCTGTTGTTCAACCAGCATTTATTCAACATCTACTATGTGACAGGTTCTGTCCTAGGCACTTCAAATTGAAATAAACAAGCAAGGTCCCTAAACCCAAGAAGCTGTCAAACTGATCTGAAGGTTCTTCACAAGTATTTGATGAAAAAATATGTGGAGGGATGGTGGAGTAATAGCTGCAGATAAGATTCTTCTCTTAGTCATGAAGTAAAGCCCATTAATATAATAAAGGCCCTAAAAAGTGCAGCAGTTTGATTCCATTCTTGGTAGAGAATTAATATGATTTCGGTTAGGCAAGAGCTAGCCAGAGAGCTGGGCTCATTCAGAGTTCCGTTCTTAGGTAGTTATTCAGGAGGTGCCCCAGGCATTTGGTATAACTGAATAATTTTGATTCAGCTCATTAATAGAAGGGAATACCTTCTGCTTTGCCAATGTGGTTCTTCTTTGGAAGGGAAGCTTTCTGGTTGTAAGAGACAAAATTTAATTGCCACCTCATGTAAAACAATTCACCTCTTGGCTCACTACAGAACAAATAGCTATAATGATGATTTTTTTTAAAGTGCTATTGTTCAACACAGAAAGGTTTTTACTCTATTTAAATCACTTTGCTTTTTATAACTAAGATTCTCATTGTTTGCACCACCATAATGATGGTGGAAACTTTAGGAGCAAACAGACGCCTGCCTTCTCTCCTGCAGATGCTGAGTCAGTGAAATCAACCTCCTGCATTTTTTCCAAAAACGTACAGAGGATTCTCAACAGCCATGGAATTCTTCTCTGCCGAATACCCAATCTACAGCTTGTGGAAGCAACACTGATGAGCCACAGTAACTTCTAGAAATACTAGTGAAAACATCCAGATCCAACAGATGGACAGGCAAGAGCTGCATTATATGCTACAGATTCTTTGAAAACTACGGAAATAAAGAAATACGTACGTGTACTTTAGCAACCCAATACACACACAGTTGGTAATTACCATTTTCCAAAGCTTCCGCATTAGGCACCTCACTCTTATCAGTTTGGTGCTGAGAAGAAATAGCTGTGAACTCAATGTTCCCAATGTTCAGAATCCCAGCCAGAATTCTGTACACGGAGTGGACTTCCTGAAAAGGACACCAAGAACCATGTTGGAAGGTCACTGCCAATGAAACCAACCAGGGCCTAGAACTACGGCATAACCTGCTAGTTATCCACCAAGTCCATTTGTTCCTTTTTTCTAGATACATACACAAGTCTATGTGTGTTACATAACTAAGTTTTAACGATGGCTCAAGCAAAAAAATGTGGGTCTCTTGTAGCGTGGGCCTTATGGGAGCAAGCATGCCTCCTCATTTTCACTCTTTATTGCTGGCCAGAGCTCCCAGCAGCCCGGCCTTACACACACCAGTGACAAGGGGCTTCGCACCAATGATGGGTCACAAGGAGTGGAGCCACCCTGAAGCCTGAACTTCTGTCCGGGAGTGGGAATAGAAGCGGGATCTTATCTTCTTTGTCCTTTATACTTTTTAGCCTTTTACCTTATCTAATACCAGCTCTCAAATTCAGGTATTTTTATTTTCAAAGCAAGAGAAGAGGTATTCCTTCTCTTCTCCCTTCCCCTCCCTGCTGCTCCCCTCCCCTCCCCTCTCCTCTACCCCTCTGTCTCCCACCTTCTAGGGCCTTCACACTGAGCTACTTCCCCAGTCCTTTTTAATTGTAATTTTGAGACAGGTCTTGCTAAGTCTCCAGGCAGGACTTGAATTTGCTGTCCTTTTGCATCAAGCTCACAGAATATTAGGATTATAGGCATGTGCTACCATGCCTGGCTCCTTCATCTCTTTTGAGTATAGTTTTCATGAAATATTTGAGAGAGCATACACTGATGGATGGCTAGAACATCTCAAAGCTACAAGATAGAGTCTGTGCTATGAATGAAGTCAGGAAATATCTTGAAGGCTCTTTAGAAACTAACTAATATGATAAGAAATATATATTTGGCTTTTGTCCCCAGTTCCTGACACAAGAACTTCTAAAATCCTTATAACTGTCTAAGTGCTGAGGGCAATGAGTACCTTTCAAACACACCTGAGTTCATGCTAGAAAGCTGTTTATCCGGGGCCTTTAGGTAGGTGAATAGGGTGGGGGTGCTGGTTGGTTGAGAAACCAGTCATGTAAGTAGACGGCTGAAACTTTCAGCACCCCCCTCCACCAAATTCTGGGCAGGGGAGAGGGGACAGAGATTGAGTTCATCACCTACGGCCAATAATTAATCATCGTGCATATGTAGTAGAGCTGCCATGAAAATCACCAACCAATGGGACTCAGAGGTTTCCCATGTGAGCCACCACCTAGAGGTGCAGGGAGGGTGGCATGCCCGGAGGGACGGCAGTGCAGAACACCTCACCATATATGTTGCCCTACATATTTTTTCCTTTTGGCTCTTCTAGTTTTGTCCTTTATAATGAATCTGTAACTGTAAGTAACATGCTTCCCTGAGTTCTGTCAGCCATTGTACAAATTACCAAGTCCAGAAAGAGTGTCATAGTAACCCCCAATTTACAATGTGTGGGTGAGGAGAACAGGAGGCCTGAGCCTGCTGCTTGATGTCTGAGGGGGTCAGTCTTGTGGGACCGAGCCCTTCCTGTGGGATCTGATGCTAACTCCAGGTAGACGGAATTGAACTGAGTTGTAGGACATTGAGCTGGTGCCAGAGAGTTAGTTGTTGGGGTGGGGGTGTTTCCACATATTTGATGTGAGAATTGTGAATAAAAGCAATTTAGCTTGCCTAAGTCTTATTTTTATATTGAAAATTGAATATATAAGCAGCATAATGCTTTAAAAACAAAGTCTATTACTTTTTAAATATGTGCATATTCTGAGCTGGATGTGGTGGTGCACAACCGTGGAGGCAGGAGGATCCCAAGTTCAAGGCTCCCCTGGGCAATTTAGTTTAGTTTTGTTTTTTTGTTTTTTCTCTGGTACCGGGAACCGAACTCACGACCTTGCGCTTGCCAGTAAGGCGCTTTTGCCGCTGAGCTAAATCCCCAGCCCCTCCCCTGGGCAATTTAGGAGGAGTCTGCCTCAAAAATAAAACGGAAAGGGCTGGGGGTGTGGCTCAGTGGCAGAGCACTTGCTTAGCATGTGCTGGTGAACCCCTGGGTTCAATCCCCAGTGGAGAAAAAGAAAATTATATATTCTATATGTGAAACAGTGAAATATCTAGCCAGGAAATTACTGCCTTTTATTCTTATAGATAGAGAAAGATACTTCCACAAAAATACTTTGGCCTGTTATTTGATTTAGTACTACACAGCAGCAAACTAACAGGAGCTGTGGTTAAACTCCTGAGAAAGCACTGCCCCCAAATTGAGCCTTCTTTAAACAGTGTCAGGAAAGCTGAACAGGGAACGCAGGTGGGAACAGTGACACCTACTGGCTACCTGGTAATGCTACAAAGACAAATAAGGATTTTAAGAAGAGCTTCCACTGCAGATAAATATTGTTCTTCAGCTTCTAAATCAAGGGCAAGATGTCATGTTTCTAACTTCAAGAATCACTGTTTAATCACACAACTTAAAAGTGGCTAAGGAGAACATCTACCAAATGAGTTTTCTGAGGCTCGCCTGGATTTACCATGACAGCACCTCATTACCTTGATCAACACAGTGCGAGGCTTGCTGAATGCATCAAGCCCCTCCCCAGGCAGACAGATCCGAGAGGGTGAAGCAGATACCGCCTGGCAGTGAGTTCTGCATGGGCTGCACCTGTTTCCAGCTATCTCTGGAGGGTATCTGAAACTTTCCTCACTCGTAGGGAAAAAATGTATTCCTCTGACTAAAACACACACAGCCCCATCGTGTATTAGGGCACAAGCCACAGAACCTCACTGTTATGGTTTGTCTATGTGTCCCCCCAAAGCCTCATGCGACCACGGGGCAGGCTTTTAGAGTTGATTGAAGTGTGAGAGCTACACCCGCCCTGGGGTGGATAGTTTGCATATGTAAGGGAGAGGAAAAGAGTGCTTGAGGCCATTCCTGGCTTTTGTGTTTTTGTTGACTTTGCTGTGTTCTGCCGCCCTGAGCTGCATCTCTCCGCCATGCGCCACTCTGCCTTATATTCTGCCAAGTACGGACTGAAACCTCCACAAACTGTAAGCAAAATAAACCTTTCCTTCCTTAATTTTGGGAGTCAGGTATTTTGTCCCAGCAGCGAGAAAAAAGTAATCAAGACACTCACAAAATAAGGTTTCTAGGCTATTCGCAACTGGGAGCATCCAGAGAAGAAAATGGTTGTTAATGACCATGCCCTTGAGACCAGCACTTCACCCTGCTGCTTCTCCAGAAACACCCTCTTCAGCATAGCGCCCAGGCCACCAACAAAAGTGGAGCACTAAATGTAGGACCTTCAGTTAAACTTCTACCTTCAAACACAGTGTGAATCACTGAAGCTAAAGGCAGCATGGGTGCCTTCCTTGATTCCGGGAGAGGGGGTAGAGAGACAGTGTTTGACACTTCCTCACCAGGAGTTATTAGCCCTCTCGCACTCCCCTATTCCCCAACGTGATTCCTTTATTCTCACCATCAGTGAAGCACTTCTTTCTTTTCTATAGACTCTTTCAATGTTGCCATGTCTTTTCACTTCCTATTGGTTTCCAACTTTCTATATAAAGTGAAATAAACTCATTCAGAATACAAAATATTATCCAGAAGACTGACAAGTCTCCATCTGGGTCAAATGTGTCTACTGCTGATGAGGGTGAATGCAATCTCCTCACAAATCTGCCAAAGCCCACTGCAAGATGCATGGCTTGGTTCTTCTCTCTTTCTCAGAGGCATTTCTCTTCTGCTGTAGGCATGTCCTAGATAATGTTGGGGCCAAGTTGAAATTTAAGAAGAACCTGAGGCCGATTCGCTGAAACCCCTCCTGGTCTGGTTTGTAGGTATCTCGGGTCCCTCTCACTCCTCAACCCCCAGGAGTTTACCTCCCCTTCCAATCTCACCACACCTTCTTTCTCCTCTGGAGGTCTCCAGTTTTATACCTGTTCTGCTCTCAGCACTGCATCAGGACCAGCTGAAGGTGTCTCACCACAAACCCTATTCCAGCATCTTTCTCCCTCATCCACAGAGGTTCACAACATCTGGTATCTTAAAAGTCAGTGGTACTGTGCACAATGACACAATCTGTAATCCCAGCTACTTGGGAGGCTGAGGCAAGAGAATCCAACTTTGAGGCTAGCCTGTGTGACTTAGTGGAACCCTACCTCAAAAAGTAAAACAAAAAGCCCTGGGGATGTAGCTCAGTAGTAGAGCCAGGTTCAGTCCTCACTATATACAAAAAAAAAAATGTCAGTGATATCCTATTGTCTGTGTTGAAGGCACTGAAAATCCTCAAGACTCTCTAGTTATAGTTTAGCATATAAAGCTTCTTCTAGCAGCACTCTGATTAATAATCTATTTTAAGGAAAAAAATAAATTTTGCCCTGAACTTCTCCCTTGCCTCTGCATCTATGGATCCACAGGGTGTCCAATCTCGATCATCGTATAGATCATTTACCAAAAGTTTTTTCCCTCTCTTTTCTTTCAGATTTTCATTAGTACATATTTTCAGTACACAATGTCTACATTCTTCAGCACATGGTGACTATCACATGTACATAATACATCCTCATTCTCTTGTGAACCCCCTCCCCTCCTGCCCCCTCTCTCTATCTCTTGAACCTCTTCCCATTGCAAAAACATCTACTCTCTGTTTGCTGTTACCTTTTATTTTGCCCTTCAATTACTTATGTGCTGGATTTCTCGTATAAGATATCATGTGATTTTTAAACTTGTGTGTCTGATTTATTTCACTTAACATTATGGTTTTATGGTACATCCATCTTCCTACAAATGACTCAGATTTACTCTTCTTTATTGCACAGTAGTATTTCATTGAATAGTTCTTATATAGTATTAAACATGTCTTTTAAAATTTGATTTATTTCATATACAAGTCCTATGTCTGCAAAACAAGCATAATATTAAACAAAATCAGTATGGTTTAACTCCACACATAGAAGTTGAAAAATACTGATCTTCACAGGAGTGTTTTCGTATAATCCCTTAAACGCCTTGCACGGAGCCATCATCATTACTGGAAGTCTCTGTCACTAGCAAAATTTCTTTATAGTAAACTCAGAGTTAAGTATCATTTTAGATACATTTAGCTGGTATTTTAGGATTAAAATCATCCTCTGAGTCCATACTAAAGTTGCTACTCATAATTTTCCTGGACAGGTTTGAGGAAAACTTAAAAGGATCCCTGCAAGGAATTAGTGATCTTCTAAGAAAGGGCAGGAGGAGTAAATTTTGATTGAATTGATCAGTTCATTTCAGCTCTGTGTAGAAATGTCTGTCAGAAAAGCTTAAGAGAAAGTTCTGTCACATCAGCCACATGGCATCTGCTGCCTGACTTCAACCAAATCTTTCTGAATTTAGTCACATTCCTGTGTTTATAAACACAAAGGAAACCAAGTTAGCCCAGCAAAACAGGTTGTCTGCTGAGAAATAAGCACAAAATGTAGGATCAGAAAGACAAGACCCAGACTCTTCATTCCATTTCTAAGGTTGCTAACCAACACACACTGGTTTATTTCCAGTGTGAATTAAGGTTGGACGCAGTGAAGATACACACACAGATATACCACATGCTCTGGTTAGTCATTAAACAGTCCAGATCAGGCACAAATGAGGAATCTTCACCAACATTTTCCTTTCTTTCCTTTCATATTCTTTGTTCAATCATTCATTCATTTATACTGTATTTTTTCCCCACAAGGGTTAGGGATAGCTTACTTCAAAGACATGTACTTAACATATTTAATTTATTCTGTTTTTGATTTTATCTTAAAATGGATCGTATCTGTTTTACTAATCCTAGTGGTATATTTTTATAGCTAGAATAGCACCACTGTATGCTTTCTTCTAGAGCTTGGTGCAGTCTCTTCACAGGATTCTATTAACCATCTTTGTTTTCACTGAAAGCAAAATATCATCAAGCCTATGGCCTGATTTCACTATGACTCTCATGCACGATTAAGGAAGCACACCCTGAACGCTCTGGCATAACCCAAGTAACTTTGAATGGCTCTATTGCCATCCCTACCATGCTTTGACTCTTCTGGTGACACATTTGATAAATGCTCTGTAGGGTAATAACCATAAAGGTCTTTTAACAGTGCTGGAACCTGTTTAATTGCTCTCCTCTAAGGAGCCAAGGGAAATATATTTCTATTTTTATCTGACCTTTGGGATTTTCCACAGTCTATCAGTTGAAAATCTGTGGGAGGCCAATAGGGAAAAGGTATAGCTGGCTAGAAAAAAGAAAGGTATTATTATGACTAAAATCAACCGCACTGGGGAGGGAAAGGCTAGCTAAACTCTGAATTTCAGAAGCAATTCTTTACCTAGAGTGGCTGTCCCAAGGTAACTGGAGTGCTTTTAATCTAATTCCTTAAGATTTAACACTCTTACCTACCTCCTAATCATTCACCCCCTTTGTTGGAAAAGCCAAAGAAACTATATGTTTTGCAAAATTGATGGCATGAAGCCCAGAAACTATGACACAAGGTGCCACAGAATGATATATGAGTCAAGGGTTATAAATACTGTCTGTCATCCTAAGTGTGTATTTAATAGTCAGCCTGCATCTAGTATGACGAAGGTAGTGTAATATTTGGAGCTATAGTGCGCAACTGTGGACATGAAGAACGAAGTGACTGGATGAAAGTCGAAGGGCTCAATTAATTTGTCTTGATGCACAAAGAGCTACTTGCGATAATATATTTCTATGGGCTGGGCATAACCTACGGACTCCTGTACTCCTATACACAATTCAGCTTAGTGGCTGGAACCCAACTCGGAAAAGGACAGTATTGTTTGGGTGTTTGTCACTTATAGGCATAGTGAATTGATACTAATGCATCATTTCACGATCCCTACAATAGCACTGCTACTTTATGTTTGCCTGAACACCTTTCTACAAGGTGTATTCTGTTTTCCGTCATTCTTGGATGGACCTGAGAATCTGTATTTCAAACAAGCTTTCAGGCAGTGACAGAGTTTCTGATCCTTGGACCACACTTTGAATAGCAAGATGTTGTTATAGCACCAACGAGGCATTTGAAAAGTACATATTCACCAGCTTCTGGAAGGCTGAGGCAGGAGAACAGCAAATTTGAGTTTCAATTAACCTGTCTCAAAATAAAAAATAAAAAAGGACTGAGGGTGTAGCTCACTGCGAAGGCCCTGGGTTCAAACCCAGTACCACACACACACACAAATATTTCTGTACATATTCTGCCCCGAGTTAGAATATCCACATCTTCCATCACATTCAAGAATATTAACATATGAATTTCTTTCTCTCTTGACAACCACTTACCTTCTCAGTGAACCCTATAATCCTGAAGCAATGCTGAATTGCTTCGAATTGTCTTCTGTAAGATTCCTTGGAGGTTATGTCCTGCATGACTCTCCCGGTTCCATCAGCTATGTACCTATCACCAAACACAGTGACCGTTGGCTTGGAAATAGCACCTCAAATGCCAGGACAGGTGCCATTTCTGCTCTTTTACAGTTTGATTCTGGATGGATGGGGCAACAATAGTGCAACCGTGGCTGAATAAAAAGGACGCAGTCAAGTTTTTGAACATTCCAGAAAACGCAAATGGGAGATGTGATTCCTGCCATCTTATCCTGCCTATTTAAGCTGAATAGACTATGAGCTTCTAGTTAGGAAAACAGCTCCATTTACTTCTGAATTTGTCAACTGTGAAATGCCCATTCATTCAAAATTAAGAAGCAAACCTCCTGACACTTACCTAGGAGGCTTTTCCTCAGGAAGTCTGAATTCAGAAAGTTTCTCTTGGTGATAAAGACCAGCATAAATGTAGTAAAATATGTGAAAATTTTTCTCTCCCCTGAGGAAAAAAGGAAGATACTTTATTAATGTCACCTTCTGGGTCTCTCCACTCTGAAGTAATTTATATCATTTCCTTTCTGTGCAAAAATATTATTTCATAGAAAATCTACACTTTTGGGCAATTAAATATGCTTCATCCCAATTATAGAACAGTAATAGTGATAAGATTCATATAATAATTGGCATAATTTACATTATTAAATACACTTATCTTTACTGCGAGCAGAAGGTGGCTTTAGACTATTTTTTTTTTTCCAGTTTTTTTCCAGTACCGGGAATTGAACTCACGACCTTGTGCTTGCCAGGCAGGCGCTGTGCCGCTAAGCTAAATCCCCAGGCCCAAAAGGAGGTTTTAGAGACTGGAACAGGTAACAGTTCAGGTTACACATATTAGAGATCCTTCCATTGCAGTGCCACAGCCATTACCTGGGCCACAAGCCTCTGTTTATAATTCCTGCTGCTTCGGAGACCATGAAGGCATCGGCCAAGTCACCTCCTACTGCCCTGAGCCCCAGGCAGGAAGTGACTTGCAGGCTGTACAGCAGGCTAGGGAGTGGAATTAGTTCATACCCGAGGTCTTGACTTTCAGGTACCAAAGTGTCACCCCTCAGTCCCCCTGGTCTCCTGCTTCTACCTCTTAGACCACCGTGGCCAATGTCCTTCTGGTCAGGTGCTTGCAGATAGGTGCCTGGGCTATGCAGCAGTGTTAGCTTATGATGCTTGAACAGAAACTTTTCTTACTATCTATCTGTATCCCTAAACATCCCTTCACATCCATAGCGTCATACAATATCCCTTAAATATATACAGTAAAATTTAGTTTTACAAAATAAAAATAAAGTTTAGTAAGAGATCAATTTTTAGTTGAGAGAACAAATGTGTGAGGAATGGCAGGGACGTGTAAGCCCCTCTTGCTGATCTTTTCACTCATTTGTTTAAAGTTCTTGCCAGTCTCTACCATGGGAGGACACTGTAAATGCATGGTAGGGGCAGTGCTGGGATACAAGCCAAGTCCTTGAACATGCTGGACAAGCAAGTGCTCGACCGCTGAGCTACACTCCCGCACCTGGTTCCTAAGCCAACCTGGGCCTATGGAGTCTGTGCGCCCAGTAGCCCCAGACTCGTCCACCTCTCTTCCTCTCTGCTCTACCACCTTAACCAGGCCAATGTGCTCGCTCTCTCCCATGGACTCAATGACAGCCTCTCGGTGATGCTGGCACAATGTTCTCTCCGCTGGCCCAAGAAGCATCTCCAAATGCATTTAGGGTTGGGTGACTCCCATGTCCCACAGCTTCCTGTGTCCTTGGAAAAAGGTGTGAAATCCTCAGCCTGGCTCCAAAGCTCTGTAGGGCCTAGTCCCAGTCTCATCTATGCCGCTCTTTCACTCCTCACTCCTGTCCCACTTTGTTGGCTGACTTGTCTCTGTCCTTGGATCTCAGATTAAATGTCTACCTGGGAAGGCCCTCTTTCCTCCTGCACTAGGTCATGGCTCTGCTCTGCTCTTCTCTCTCTTCTCTTCTTTCTCTTCTCTTCTCTTCTCTTCTCTTTTCTTCTTTCTCTCTCTTCTCTTCTTTCTCTTCTCTTCTCTTCTCTTCTCTTCTCTTCTCTTCTCTCCTCTCCTCTCCTCTCCTCTCATCCCCTCTCCTCTCCACCCCTCTCCTCTTCTCTTCTCCTCTTTCACCTTTCTACCACCTTACATTGCTTCCTGGCACTTCACACATTTCCCCTACATTTCATTTGTTCTTTTTACAAGGCAACCTTCCTGTCTCTCCTGAGCCACCATACTCTAAGTTCTGTGAATTCAGGCACCTTGTCTATCTTGCTTCCTCTTGAAACTCCAGCATATGGCAGGTACCAAGTAATGTGTGGCTGTGTGTATGGAACCATGTTCCCAAGGAACTCTGGTGTCCTGCAGGGGCAGTGAAATAGGACGAATGGCTCACACTCTGATAGAGGGCACCACACCAGACATTCTTTTCAGTGGTTTTATGTAAATGAACTCACTGATCCTTATAACATACCCCTGAAGTCAGCACAGAACCGGTCTATGTCACATCCAAGGTCACACAGCACCGGAGCCAGTATTAAACCCACAGCAAAGCCCACACTATCAATTATTGTTACCTATCAATATACAGTTCTTCTTAAAACAGAATAATTTTGTTTTTTTTTCTCTTCATCTAGGAAAAGTTAACATGTTGAATATTCTAGATGGTTTTTATAGATAAGTTCAAATTTAAGAGAGTCAATGATTTTTTGAGAGGATCTGCAAGACTGTTAAATTCTACCTGATCAATCAAGTCAGAGGAACTAGCGTATCTATTCCAAAAACACCCCCGAGCCCAGCACTTTGTACTCTGGCCTATAACAGCTTTTAGATAAAAACTCCCAGGGACCTTTGTTAAATAATTCCTTGCTCTTGGGGAGCCTGGAGATAGGGGGAGGGGAAATGCTAAAGGACAAGGATGCAAATGGAACCATGGAACTTGCCAAAGCCTCCAAGTTTATAATGCAGGGCAAAAAGTGATGGGGCAGTATGCTTACACTGCCTGTTTTATGACTCTGGATTTTTCAAGGAGATATTCAGAGATTCTTGCCCCCATCACAGCTCCAGTTGGTGTAAACATCATTTCCAGATATTTTCCAAAACGGCTTGAGTTGTCATTGATTGCCGTGCATGCGTTCCCAAAGGCCTCCACCAGGGAGTTGACTTGCAGAATTTTCTCTCGCAAGGTCTGATTGTCGGCCTGTGCCAAACAGAGAACAGTCAAGAGATGCCCGTGAAAGGTGACCCCAGCAACAATGCCGAGCATTGCCCACCTTGCACCCATGTTCACAGTGTCCTTTCCCTTCTCTATTGGGGGAAATTAGCATCCACTGGGCGTCAAATGGGCAATTCACCAGGTGTGTAGGAATCAGATACAGGTAGATCATGGCAGCAGTTTTTAAACCTTGCTGCACTTCATTTGAAGTCCTTGACAGGTAAAATATGAAGTAGTTTTGGTACCGGGAATTGAACTCAAGACCTTGCACTTGCCAGGCAGGCGCTGTGCCACTGAGCTATATCCCTGGTGAGAAAGATTTTTATATGGACAGATTTCATCACTTTCTCAGTCATTCTCGTCTATAAAATGTATTCCTTAAATTTTCCTGATCATGTAATACACTAAGTCTGAGTAGAAGTAACTACTAGACTGAATTTGCACTCATTCCTTCAGTGTCTGTTTGCTAAAATGGAAATGTTCATTTCCTTTACCTTGTACTCAGAGATTTCCATTTTCCACCCCTCACTCTCCATAGCAGCTCTGCCTGACCCTGTTCACAGTGTTTAACCACTTTTACCACTGAATGGCTAAACGCTTCCATTACACTGAAAACATGAAAAATTAATTGGCAATAATCTAGTAAATTCACGCTGGCATTGTTTTCCTCACTACATGAAATAAGGATGGCACACCGACATCTTAAGAGGTCTAGCCCTCAGGAGGCAAACATAACAACGATAAAATGTTTTTATGGAGCCCCTTCTCAAAAACAATACTTCCATCATTTATAAAATATGCAGTTGCTCTGTGGAAACTTCTAGCCATGATACGCAAAACAGGTAGGTCAGTACCTTTCCCAAGAAAGTCAGATGCTGAACAATCAGGTGGGCGCTTTCTGTCTTCCCCGAGCCACTTTCCCCGCTGATAACAATGCACTGACACAGAAAATGGAATGCAGTGTCAATGGAACAGTTCTTGGCACAGAAATCACTGGGCATTCAGCTATGGCTTTCATAGAACAGCCTGTACTGGACACCTTAATTTTTCATTAAGCAAGAAATTCACCCTCAGACTCTTTCTGTTTCGGTACACAGAGAACTTCTTCACTCCCTGGTACAGGTGCAGTTGTACTATAATCTATTTACTGATGGATACTTGAAGTTTTTCTTTTGTCAAACAATATTACAGTGAATAATGCTATACGTAAGTGGTTCTTTTTATATGCAGATATACTATATGGAGATATATGGATCATTATATCTATATGCAGGTTCATTGCAGAATGAATTCCAAGAAGTGGGGATGTTAGATCAAAAGGTAAAGATATTTGTAAATTTGATAAGTACTACCAAATTACTTTGCTAAGGACTCTAGCAATATGTATTCTCTTAGGGTCAGCAGTGAATTGAATTATAGGAGATCAGCTGTCAGAGACTTGAAGAATTGGTTATTGTCAGAAAACATGCAATATTTGGTGTCCAGAAGAAGGACAACACGATGGGGCAACTTCTCAACTTGAAAACCACATTTTCTCTCTCCATTTACTTCTTTTCTGAGAAACCTGTCAATGTTTCACAGGTCCTTGAGATGAGTAAGAACCTGGAGAAGCCCAATTTCTAACCTACAATGAATCCAGGTGTTCTGTTTCACAAGGTGCATTGTTAAAATTTTATTTATACCTCAATAAGCCCAAAAGTTTGGATTTCACAGGTCTCAAGAAATAGACACATGGTGATACTCTCTGAAAGCCTACTCACCAAATTGGATGACCTGCATTGCACACAGAATAAAGAAACAGAAAATAAATCTATTGACATCAAAGGTAGGATGCCACCATTGTGAAAGGGAAGTCTAAAAAGTTAAAATGTGTAACTTCGTGTCTCACTAACACTGAGTTTGAGGTTTATTCTCTCAGCAGCTAAACAGTGGGGCAACATCACTACCAACACAAGTATGAAATTTTTTTTTTTTTTTTTGTCTTTTTGAAACAACGTCTCATTATACAGTTCAGGCTGGTCTTGAACTCACTTTGTAGCTCAGGCTGGCCTCAATCTCACAGTGATCCTCCGTCCTCAGCCTCCCAAGCATGAGAGTTACAGGCGCACACCACCACACCTGGCTAAATTTTCATATATAAAGATCAACTCATGAAAATACTGAGACATTAATGGAAAGGAATTTCATTCGTACAGTTCTGCATCCAGTTTTTATTGTAATCATTGCCATGCAATCAGATAGTGCTTGCTCTATGTCCTCATTATATTCATATTGGAAATACCTTTATTACATTTTATGAGAGCAAGTGAGTGCTCTTGGTGTTTCTTGTAAAGGGATTTCTTCTTCTCCTGCTACTATGGCTTTATCAGCGTTTTGTGTGCTCGGAGCTGCAATTTCATTTCCCATTTCCTTGGGCAATTGCACTAGAAAGGTTTCAGGAAGCCTTAGATGTTGAAGAGGAAGATGAAAGATGTCTTACAAGTGACTTGGTAAGAAAGGAAGGTGAGTCCCTACCTGGTCTTTGCTGAAAGTAACCAAGCACTGGTAAGCAGCATCTGCCGATGCAAATATGTGGGGGGGATTGGAGGCGCGTCTCACCCCATGATACAGCCTGGAAAACTGAAGGAAAAGATAACTAATTTAAAGGAAGATTCTGATTCTCCACTAGACCATCTAAAGCTCTCACAATCTGTTGCCCAGGCAACCAGGGTTTTATCACTTGTTAGGGGACTGTGGCCTCCTCAGATGGCTCTGTCTTGGAATCTGCTGGCCAGAGTTCAAATTGTAGCCCTGCATTTATTGGCTTGTTGAGCTGGCGCAAGGGTGTTAACTTCTCTTTGTTAAGTCTCCTTGTCTACCAAATCGGTTTAATAATGGTGCCTGCCTCACAGAGTTGTGAGGAGTGACATAATCCAGTGCCTGGTGTACAGTAAGCACTCAACAATTTTTTTTTTTTTTTTAGCACTCAACAATTTTAGCTATTATTATTGCACCTTGCTTGAAAAAGTTACTCTCTGTTATAGTTGATACATTGTGTCAACTTGGGGTGTCTACAGGTTTGCCTAAGTGACTCAGCGGTTCAGCATCTTGGGGTAAGAAGAATATGCCCTTACCATCAGAGATGTTGTTTATTGTGTCAATTTGAGGTTAACTATGTGACTCAGCGGGGAACCAGGGTGCTTACTTTGTATTCATCCTGAGCCTGTGCGAGAGGAGGGCATGGAGATTATGTGAGTGCTACACACCCCCTGAGTGGGGGTAGCCTGCTTACAGTGTAAGAGAGGGAAAGAGGCTTGCTCTTCTCTGCTACTCCTCCCTTTTGCTCTTGTTGCTTTGCTGTTTTCTGCCACCATGAACACTTGCCCTCTGCCATGTGCCACTCTGCCTCGGAGCCAGCCGAGTGTGGACTGAAAACTCCACACACTGTAAGAGCTAAATAAACCTTTCCTTCCTTAATTTTGAGCGTTGGGTATTTTGTCTCAGCAATGAGAGAAAGGTAACCAAGACACTCTCCAAAGGTAAAATCTCCATTTGTTTTGCATTCTTATCTGTAGCTTGGGGTATACACCCTTAGAGTGATGTGGGTTTCATTAGCACATCTTCATTTGCCCAAGTGATTCCTTTTCCAGTGCTGGGGATGGAATCCAGGGCTGTGTGGATGCTAGGCAAACACTCTATTGCTGAGCTGCACCCCAGCCCATCCTTTGTGAGTTTTAATTTTCCATTAAGGAGCAATATGCTCTTAAAGTCTCCCTTACCTGTGGGGAATATATGCTGAGATTCTGGAAAGGGTTTAAGGCTATTAGGATGTCTCCAACATATGTGTAAATCAGCAAGTCTGCATAACGTTTCTGCAACTGATGAATAATTGTATCCTAAGGAGAGGATAAATGGCATGGAGAGAAAACACTGTATTCAATCAAGGTGGAGTTTCTAAAAACAACAGATTTATTCTTGCAAGAATATTTTCTCTAAAAGACTAAAGTATCCATTTAAATCACACAATGATCTTCATTTTCTGAAATGATTCAGATATTTGCCTTGAAAGAATTAAGAATAGAAATATGCTAGAAGAATTAGGATGTGGTTAGGGACACAGAGATATCCAACCAAGATTTTACTTGTTATTGGGGGGAAAAAAAGTGTTTTTTTTTTTAAATTTTTCTTCCAGTACCAGGAATCGAACTCATGCCCTTGTGCTTGCCAGGCAGACACTTTGTCGCTGAGCTAAATCTCCAGCTATGGAAAAAAGTTCTATTTAGAATTTGATTTACTAGGCGATTCCTAACAAAGCACAGAAAAAATAGCTATTTCATTTCTCAAATTGTTGCACGTAAAATCTATGTGGTAGGAATCTGAATTGCAGCATTTTGGTATCACACGTTAGTGGTGGAAGAGTTGACGTTAGAGGTCCCCAGAGTCAGACTCAGCAAAAGCAGGTCCAGTGCAATTAAAGGCTCCATTAACCATGCATATGTTAAAAAGGCATTATTACAGTTTTGAGATTTAGAACATGAGTATATAACTTCATGACTTTGCTAAATGTAGTTTCCCTTTATGAAGAACAAACAACTATCTTAATAGTTAAATGCAACTTTTTATTAAATGGAAATTAATTTCAGTGGATAGAACCATCATGAAGGCCTATGATAAACAAAGCTTTCTTAGAAAAATCCAAATCCCTTCTCTTCACCCCAGGGACTATAAATGAACACAACACACGATCATCATCTCAGTAACCAAGTGCACCCAGAGTTACCCATGGCTATCTAATTAAATTTTCAAATGACCTTAAAAGAACATGGCCAGCAACAGAAAGGTCAGACCATTTATGTGAAACAAAAGCCATCAATGAGCATTGTCTACTAAATATTCAGCACCTCATCCAGGACCTCTAGATTGACCAAATCGTCCTCAAGGCAGTATTTCTCAGCATTTTCCACATGATAGGGTCTTCCCGTATGCATCCTTTCATGCCTAGAAATGTACCAAGAGAGTATTAGCATTCAGACAGTAAATGATGTGTGATGATTCATTCACAATCCTATCATACAGTGCATTCAGAGACCTCAGAGAGAGTAACAGCAAGTCCAGGCCAGATGCCCAAGCCCTTCCCTGTGGAGCCAACAGAGAAGGAAACCCCATAGCTTGACGCTCTTTTCTGCTACAGTGAGGAGCATTACCAAGGGGGCCCTGTATCACATATATTTTCTTTCCTTCAATTCCAACTGTAGCCCTTCCAGGGATACATATAACCCTACCTTTTCTCTGCTGAGTATGATGCAAGATCACTGTTTTTCCACATGCAATATTTCATATAAAAAAGACCAAGTCATAAAAATGCTGCATCCTTAATAGGCAGGAATTTCACTGTCTCCATTCTGTACCCTGTTTTTATTATAGTGATAGAATTTTTGCTTGTGTAAGGCCCTAGTCTGCCAACACCATTCCCAACTTTCTGAGGTATTTTTAAAACTGCAGAATAAATACCTAAGAGTTGGTCATTGTTTATATTTCACTTATTTGTTTATTTGAATTCCCTTTGTAATTTCTGCCCCATCCCAGTCCTCTCATGGGGTGACCTCTACTTGGCAGATGTCCTTCCAGTCTATTTTTAAACGCTGGCAAAATATGTAGATGTATACATGAATAAGATATAGATTCTGTAGGTTTAATTTAAAAAATTATATTATACTCCAGGTTTTATTCACAAACTTACTTTTTTCATTCAGCATTATGATTTTTTTCAAGCAATTTATCAGTTATCTTTTTTTTGTGTGTGTGCAGGGAATCAAACTCCGGACCTTGTGCTTACCAGGCTGGTGCTTATGCAACTGAGCTATGTCCCCGGCCTGTCTATCAGTCATCTTAACCTGGATAATACCTCACCATATAAATATATGCCAACTGATTTGCCCATTCTTATGTTGGTCAACATTTAGGTTGATTCCAATTTTTTTTTTTTGCGGCTACACACAAAATATCACTCAATATCTTTATACACATCTTTTTGTGTATAAATGTGAGATTTTTCTCTGAGGGGGCATTGCTCACCAGACAGTTTAAAAAGTTGGTTGGTAATAACAACAACCCACTTGCTACAGTACACCAAAAAATAGCTCTTTGAGGCATAAAATTAATTTCAGGTCAAAGCAGACCTTCCTTTCTTACCTTTCCTAAACTTCTCACTGTTCAGTATGGTGTTGAGGAAAAACACCGATCTAGAAGTTCAGAGCTCTGGGTTCTAGTAATGCGGTATGAGACGCTCAGCAATCCTCAGTCAGCCAGTCTCTTAATTGTCTAATCTATAAATAGACTCATTCATGACTGGTCTATCCATCCCACAGGTGGTTGGTAGCATATAAGTCACAGATATAAAAATGCAAAAGAAGCCGGGAGTGGTGGTGCATGCCTGTAACCCTAGCACTCAGGAGCCTGAAGCAGAAGGATCGTTGTAAGTTCGAGGCTAGCCTGAACCACATAATGAGACCCTCTCTCAAAAAAAAAACAAAAAACAAAGCAAACCCACAGAAGGGCTAGAAAAATGCACCAAGTCCTATGTTTACATCTTTGTCCAAATCTAGAATCAACACATTATTAACCATTAATTAAACAAAGCTCCATGTGAGAGATTCTCTCATGTACTACAAATTCACCAGGAGAGAAGCTTCACAACTGGGTTCTTCCTGGTCAGCTGGGATGCCCACCTTTATCATGGCTGAACAGGATGTCACCCACTGATACAGTTCTATTGAGCCAGGTGCAGAAGTGAGTTATGCCTCTACTTTTTCCAGAGAGTACAATGTAGAAGTCATGGAATCTTGATGTACAGCTGCCCCCTTGCTACATGTAGTTCACAGAAGTGGGTAGAAAGGAAGATGCAAATTTATTGGCTCTATATATTGAGTTTTGAGCTTATAACACAGTGGAAAGAGGCAAATAAAATGTTGGCTTTTCTCCTGCTTGTTTCAAGCCTATTGAATTAAGTCTTCTTTCCCAATCTCTATCACTGATGGATTTGAATAGGGGAGATTACAAACATGCTATTAGGTACTTCCTATACTAGGACCAGTTTTGCTGTTATTCATATAAGGGGCCCATATAGAAGGCAGTTTAATTTTATTTAATAAAATAAAATTTATAACCCTGGTATTTTTATCTTTTTAAAAACTCTTTCTTGCTACTGTTTGGGAGGGAATTTTTTGTTTGTTTGGTTTCTTTGTTTGTTTGTTTTTGAGACAGGGTTTCACTATGTAGTTCAGGCTGGCCTTGAATTCACTGTGTAACCCAGGCTGCCCCTGAGTCAGAACAATGCTTCTGCCTCAGCCTGCTGGATGCTGGGATTACAGGCGCGCACCACCATGCCTGGTATGACCTAAGCACTTTTAATTATCAACCAGAACAATTTATTCATTAGTGTCTTTGTATATTGGTGATGACAAAGAGAAATCAAATTCGTATGAAATACAGATTTTCACTGTAACTCAGAGCAGCTCCCTACTTCTAGCTAGCCACTTCACTAGATAAAAGAGCAGAAAGGTGCGTATTTCTGGTCAAAACCCCTATATATACCTAAGCTTTTTTTTTTCTGCTTGAAGTTAATTGTCTGGCAAAATTACACAGTGCTTTCATGCTTTTTAATAAAATAATGAAATTCTCCTCATATTGAGTTCAGCCAGTTTATCTCCTTCCTAAGTTTGTGTCTTATAATTGTGTGAAATAAGTTAAGTTGGCATTTATTCTATACAGCACTTGACAAAGAAAGTCAAGAACTAAAACTTTGTCAGCAGGTCTGGCTCCTGTCAAGAGGGAATGAGTAAGCATTCTTCCTCTGTCTGTCCACCAGGTGTGACTAAACACCTTGGGCAGACAGCAGCTGTCTCAGGACTCCGAGAGCAGAATAGTAGCAGGCAGAGTGGGGAAGGGAACAAGAATTCAAAGTGCCACTGGATCCATGGTGTGCTTCCCAGACACTCTTCACTGCGACTGAGATGTCATCTGAACCGTATCCCGAAATGTCAAGCTTCGTGTTGGATGATATTCTCAGAGCCAACTAAAAGGGAAGCACTGCAGGGGAAGACCTCCACTGCGACCTTTCAGTGTAAGCACGCCTAACACCAAGTCACCAGGTTGGGAATTAGTGTCTTCCGAGCCTATAGCAGATTTCCATATGTTGCAGCAATCTATCTGCCTGTAGCACAAACATAGCCTCTAAGAATCATGCAGACGCTGTCTGGAGATCTGAGTTTGACTCTCATGCCAGTTTTCACCAGTAATATTTCATGAACAAACAAGCAAACCCACCAGCTTTTAAAAGATTTTACCTGCTGTTATTAGCAGTGTGTAACCTCTTCCCCTGCTTATGGTCAGTTAAGTTGTTTATTGTTTACTCTAAAAATTGACATTGATCACCTAGAAGCTGATGTAGATACAAGATTTTTCCACTCTGATAAAGATTAGTCCACTTTCCCAACCAGAAAATATATATTAAAAAAAAAAAAATATATATATATATATATATGCCTACCCAACTAATATTCCTCTAAATCTGCTGCCTGACTTACCTTCCTTTGGCCATGGGGCTTCAAAAGCTTATTACCTTCCTTTGGGTTTGGAGAGTTTATTGAAGAGAAACATTACTGATTCCAGTTTCCTTTTAAAACATTATCTTAGATTTTAGACACACTTGTAAAAATTGTTATGTTGTTTTATATTTTTCCATAGCTAAATTTAGTGAAAATAAATTTGGTTTAAATTTTTTCAATTTCCTTGCATTAGATGACTGTCACTACCGGTAGTAACTCCAATCGTAAATTTTCTTCAAATTCGCATACTCCACCTAGTGTCTTACTTGAGAATAACATCTACTACCAATTTTTGCTGAAAAATTCCTATTTCCTGTAAAAATTACTAAAATGTACTTGAGTTGAGCATTCTAAAGAATAGAGAAATGGAGGGAGGGAGAGGGGAAAGAGGGAGAGAGAGGGAGAAAGAGAGACTGATTCTGTTACATCAAGAGTATATGTAAGGTGTTATAATTTTAATGGCTCAAAGACTTCTTCACATTCCAGGAAAATGTATATTACATATTTCTAGATTTACAACTGTGGTTATGAGGCACTCAGTATGTTGGCTGCCATGCCTCACTTCTCAGACCAGTGAAGTGTTGGAAGAACTGAGGCTCCAAGGGAAAGATTTGCTTCAGATTGGTACCAGGAGTTTGAGCTTGGTACGGTAGTGGAGCGGGGTGCAGGCTAAGGGTAGCCCTAGGTTTTTAGGAACCTCCTGTATCAAGCATCTTTGGCACTTCATGAAGTGATCATTCAGGAGCCACTGATTTCCACAGGACCCCAGGAATCATCAGTGTATGTAATATGAGTGGGACGCACACATGAGTGCAGGCGTGTGTGTGTGTGTGTGTGTGTGTGTGTGTGTGTGTGTGTGTTCATAGGCAAAATAAGGAGGGAGACAGCAAGGCCAACTGGGGAAAGTATGGTAAGTAACCAGGAAGAAATCTGTTTTTAAAGGTCACTGCTGCAGGTTGAAAAGAGATTTAAAAAACAAAACAAAACTGAAGTCATTGCTTAAATTAGCCTCCGGCAAATTACAAGGGCAGAATCAAAATCCATTAAACAGAGCAGGAAAAAGAAAAAAAAACAACCTAGCAACTTCTTCTACCAAGCAACACTTAAAGTAGACCTCTGGCATTTGCGGGCTTGACATTTGCAATTGCAGCAAGCCCCAAGCCACCCGCAGGGGCAGAACATGCTGGAATTTGTTGTCTTGAGGCTCACAGTTGAGTTCATGGTCATGGCAACTGACCAGGGCCTTCCCACACCCCAGGAAGTAGTGTTCTCTTTTCCCCATAACTCTTATAAATAATTAAATGCAGGATTTCAAGTCTACTTCTTTGAACTTTAGCCATCAGATGATATACCACGTGATACTAATGAATTCAAGAATTTACAAAACTAGTT